ATGTTTGGCTTGCCTTGAATGTCTCTTATGCTCGGTGGGTCACTGACACTCATGGCTATATTGTGAATATAAAACGTCTCCATGGTACTCTTGACCCGACATCGAATCCCTTGGAGGGGACGAAGACGATTTGAGAAATTAGGTGTCGTCAAAAGTAATAAAAATGGTACGAATCTGAGAAATGCTCGGTCAAACTTCGAGCTCGAGCCACAAATGTCTGATTCGGCTTGACGACTTTGTGGTGTTTCACATGTGGGAGAGACACCGAAGGGCATCGTACTAGGGCTCAATCGTTGGCACGAGCATCTCTCTTGCTGGAGGGCCACGAAGGGCCAAGTTGGATGCCGTTTGAGGTCAAAAAAGGCATAACCTGGTACCTTTCTTGGCAGATCGGCTCCGCTATCTGTGCTCTGGGATGATTCGACATTACAGCTTGACCTGAGTGCAGAGAATGAGCAGCTGCACCCGATGACACTCACTGACCCAGTATCCTGTTTACATCGAGACCCCGATTCAGAGACTGTTCATGTGTCTGTGTGCCTCTCTGTCTCCCTCTTGGCTGCTGGCCTGATAGACAGTATCTATATCGCTGCCTCTCTATATGCCTTCTGTCTATATTATCTCATATCTGCATATATGTATGCACGTATGTGTGCATGAAGGACACACGGGAGAGAATTAGGTATTTTCGGACTGCCAGGCCTCCCTTAGGCGCAGAGCGAGTCATCGCCGTCGTCAAGGTGAACGGTGCCAATGAGGCTCCTACCAGCGTGGGTGTTAGTCTTTGACCTAACGTCTTTTGCCTGGTTCTCAAACAGTCAGTACTTCTCGGAAAAATATCACCGGTTTATGGAAAATGTTCAGTCGTCCTACAGAGCCTGCTCTGGCTATAGGCATGCGCCGAGTGTTACTGTTAGACCTGAATGCCTCTTCGTTGCTACCGATTTCAGACCGAAATAACCATTTTTCTATCGACATGACACTTCTCGAGCCGACATTTGGCCGATCCTAAACCGGCCAGGTGATTGTTTCGGTCATGGCTTGTTGACGAGCTCGGAGCAGGTCGTCTTTTTCCACTCTCCCACAATTTAGACGCGTCCGGATGGGAATACCGTTGATACATGCATACACACACATTCACAAATACAGCTGCACACTAAAGAAAATAAATAAGATTGGTATTCTTGGGGGGAAGGTTCTGACTATATCCTCAAACTTCACTTTAGAAGATCAAGGAATGGAGCAAACTTTGGGACAACTAAGTAGGCTTTATTTGCAGAGAAGAAGAGACTGGGAGTCTGAAGTAAGCGATTATTTATTTATATTTTCTTCGTACGCTGTTGTCTAGACGCGGTAATCTTCTTTTAGTTAGTTATAGGGGCATAGTGTTCTGGTTGAAAATGCTACCGAAAGGACTCTATGCAACAATACTGGCGCGAGAGCGAGTTTAAAATGGAAGCAGCTTAACGACAAAAGCTCCATGGCACGTATAAACTAGAAGACATTACTTGAGGCAAATGTAAATTAGCTTCTGTCTAGCTTGTGCCAGATCAACATCTTAAGCTGACCACTTTCCTTCACTTGACTTTGCGCCGCGAAGCGATGCTATTGCTAGTTGGCGAAATAAGTGTTGTGTTGACTTTCGTTTCGGGTGAGGGCCTGATGTAGACACTTGTGGGTCGATTTATTCGGATGCTGAAGGCTGATCACGGTTGTCCAGCAGTTGTTTGCTTTTGCTACGGCGTTTAGGCTGACGAAGTCAAGGAGACATCTTTCCTTGGATACGGTGAAAACGGGCTGAGCTCTCGTCCGTCATATGCCACTTTTCGTGAGAGCCGGATGTCAATCTTGGAAAAGCTTCAGGTTAACATTTCGTCAAGAGGACTAATCGGTTATAAATTAGGTGCTGTGTACTCACAACTAGAAGCGACAGTTCAGAGCTAGAGGTAGATGGATATATAATGATTTGATTAGTTCTTTTTCGTGTTAATCTAGGTACTTTTTAAGTTTGAGCTTGTGTGCGCGTTTGTGCGTGCCATAACTTGCGCAGGTACACACGCACCCACACTCAATTAAGTAAATTGGTATCTAGGTTATTGTGTAAAAAATTGTTAAGGGGACCTTCATTTCGTATGAAATTGCATGAAGAAGAGGACGGATGAATTCCGTTTTACTTCAGCCGTTTTGGCTTTTATACGAGGTTCAGGTTAACGCAGTCCACGAGATCTCCTCCCTCATTTCGGGTCAAAACAAGCTGAGCTTTCGACCATCATATGATGGTCATCATCTCATTCATGTATAAGTTTAACGTCATCATTAGAGCAAGAAGACTACCCGGCTATATCTTACCTATTTATTGTATGTAAGTAGAATTT